TAAGGGCAGCAGCCAGGCCCAGTTCACATCCAGCCCTGTCACTTGCTGGCTTTGGGAGCAGGGACGTGTGACTTAATCTCTCAGTGTTTTGCTCCCCTTCAGTAAACTGGTTATAAAAGCACCAGCTGGTGCAGCTGCTGGGAGGATGAAAACAGTGAAAGCCTGGCTTAGGCTAGCAACTGGCCCCCGGAAGGACTCCGTACATTACTGAGTCCTCGTTAATAACTCTTGGTCCTCATTCATAATAAGTTACAAAGAGAAAATCTTAACAGTTTGGTCCTCCTCATGGTCCCAAGGCAGTGACCCGAGGAAGGAATCCTTCTTCCGGAGAAGCAGTCAGTGCTCCCCGACAACCCTGTCCACCACCCCAACAGCACTCCTGGCCCCAGATGCCAGCAAAGGAAGTGCATGGGTGCCATGTCCAGAAACGCTGGGAGGCCCATGGGCACCATTTCTGTGCTTCTTGTGCCATCTTCCTTGGCAGATGCCTGATATGGCTCTCTAAGCCGCAATCCCAGAGGACAGCAGTCAGGGGAAAAGTAGTGGCCTTCTGTCCATCAAGTGTGTCCCTGTGCCCCAGCTTACCTGGTCCCTGTGCTGACACCACATCCATGGCATCTGGCTGCAGTCTGGGTGACAGAGGTCACCAAAGGTATCCAGATTGCCCTGAAAAGCAACGTGGTGACAAGGAAGCCATGTAGCCTGGCGCCATCTCCAGAAGGCATCAGGACCCCTGAGTCTCCCACAGCTCTGTCTTCAGGAGCACATGCAGACAAAGCTCCCATCTCCCTCTGGGGCAGGGGCCCAGCAGCCTTCTGTGTTGGGGACATGGTCACTGTGGCCATAGAGAGTTTTGGAATCTAGAACAAAACAGTATTTTGGTCAAGAAAGCGGAAAAGTCAGGGGAAATTCAGATGAAAAGTCCAAAGGCGGGAGGAGACTGTGGTTCCGAGCAGAGGTCCTGAAAGAGAGCGTGAGCTGGGCACTGGGGCCTGGGCAGGAGCTCATGGAGAGGAGAAGGAGACACGGGGGAAGGCAAATGAGAGGATCGTGCCCTGCTCAGGGAGTGGTGCCTGAGACCAGGGAAGAAAGAAGAAAAAGGCAGATTAAAAAACAGGCCAGAAAGCAGCCCAGGACCCATGTGGGCAGCCCCTTGGCCACTCGGCGCTGGAGTCAGCCCTTTCTGGGCCCTGGTGGGGATGGGATGAGGGCCGTGCAGTGCAAGGCGGTGCAGGCTGCTGGCAGGTGACTTCCTCCCCCTGGAGGCTGTTTCAGCTTCTCTGTGCCCCACACTCCAGGGAGAGACAGGACTGGCTGCCCCAGATGCTGTGGAGGGGCTGTGGAGGAACCTGACATTCCCAGGAGGAAGCTCACATCTTCCCCTGGGGGGGGGGGGGCAGGACCAAGCGGGCAGGGGCGGAGCCAGGCAGGAACTCTGGGGTCCTTCTCCGTCAACACCAGCCACCCAGGTGCCCTCTCTACCCCTGTGCAGGGCCCCCTGCTGCTGCCAGGCTGGGTTCCCTTCAGCAAGATGGGCCTTGGACCCACTCGCGAAGGAGGTTTTCTCAGGGAGAGTGGCTGCTGCACAGGTGTCTTGTGAGGCAGTTTGGGTCTCCACCTCCTCCCCTCCCTGAAGCACCTGTGAGCCCATCTCAGCACGTGACAAGCCCGCTCAGCGCCAGCTTTTCCTCACTGCCTGAAGATCCTGCTGCCTGGGCTGGCAGGTGCCTCTGGCATCTCTGCAGTGTTAGTGATGGGGAGAACATGTGTCAGGACTGGTCATTTCTTTTTTTTTTTCTGATCTGCATGACCTTTTGTGACTCAGGTTGCTAGACCTAAGCACCTGCAGGCAGGTGGTTTAATAATTAAACCACTTCCACAGCTGAGGCACCCCTGTGGGAACCAGGGGCTGGCCAGACATCAAAAGCTGCCACTGTACAGAAACATGAATCCTTTTAGAGAGGGAGTTTGATGTGTGGGAACAGACCTGGTGGTGCAAGGGACAGGAGCCCTCATACATGTCTGCCACAGGGGCACGAGAGTGGGCCACAGGTGGGCATCTGATTGCTCTTGGCATCAAGTGACCAAAATCCAGCCCCCATAGAGCCTGCCTTTCTCCAGGGC